GGCAGAGCTACTTCTCACTTACGGCGCAGCAATTAATGTGAGGAATCGCGACGGACGTGTGGCGCTCTTATATGGCGTGATACTACATGCGGTGGAGATTTGAGGTGCGAACTTGTCTCCTGGCACCGTGGAACCCGGCGCATCCAAAACCAGACAAAGACAGACGGTCGGCACATTTGCCCGCCAGAAAGCAGTGGAAGCATTCAAATAATACTACTGTGCTTCCTGTGAAGTAAATTGTCGAGCCGCTGCTTCACTCCAAGTGACCGTGATGCATGCATCCCCTGCTTCAAATTTCCCAGGAGAAAAATCGGCCAGATATCTGAATAGTCAGGAAATCTGTCAGAGCACCAGCTTTCGTGGTCACCCTAAGCTTGATGCCAGGCTTGATACCCGACCCATAAGCCTTCCCAGGAGTAGCGAAGATACTACGAGTTATGCACCGAGACAGATTTCTTGACAGTGTGTAGCTCGGATGTAAGACCGGAGATGAAGCCCGAAGACCACTGCGTTGAAGCTCGTGACCAAATTATAACCCAGGGTTGCTTGGGCGCGAAGCAGCAAAACGCCAACTGACCATCGTCGAACCTCCCCGATGCCCATGTGATGTGAAACACGGGACAATTCAACCGCGAGACAGTATCCAGACACCGTTTTGCTCGACAAATCAGCCTCAACCTTTATGCAGGCGAGGGGACCGCAGCACGCCAGACTTAGTTATACATGTATGGACCAGCACAGCCATTTAGCGGATAATCGAAACCTTTACAAGACTGAGCAAAGGTTAACTGCACTGCCTTCGTTCCCATGATCATGCTTCGACCCGGATGATATTTGATGAAAAGGTGATGTTGGAAGTAAGACAGTGAAGGGCCAGCAACTTGCAAGACCTTCCTATGCACAGCACTACCCGCCGCATGGGGTGAAGATGAATTTCCATAAAAATGCTTGGAATGCTGAAGCGACAGACCCAACCATCCAAGCACTTAACTCGCCACCCTGGATCCGGAAGGAGGCGTCTATCACAGCTTTACAAAAACAATCTAGTTACCAGGTTGCTCGGCAGATATTGTTGGCTATGCACAGATGACACTGCGATTGACGTACTTCCCTGATATAGGACATTGCGGCCTTGTTTGAGTTCAGCTACGAAATTATATCTTCTTATGCGCGGCATCTGACATCAAGAGAAGAGGGCATAGCATTATCATGGACTAGGTCTCTGTCACCATTCGGGACCAACGAACAGGGTGATATTCGCCCAGCTTGTGGTGGGAGAGCTTCACCCGCAGCCAGAATGAATTTGTGGCTTCGAAGCATAAGGAGACACTCCTACTTATTGAAGGGGTCTTCATCACAATATGAGTGCTATGCTTGATGAGGTCTCTTCGGAGAACAAGTGAAGCCGGGGCGTTCGACCCGACTTCGCCAAAGAAATGTGCAAGCTGGCATATATGACAGCCAGATTCTGCAAAGCCCATCTCCAATTCTGTCTTTGAGATGGAAGAAGGGAGCCATTTTGTCGGGCTCCGATGTTGCCATTATGTATACAATAACTGATTCAACCTCCGACGGGGTCAACATGGGTCATATTTATGGGCATACTGAGTTCCGCCGCCCTCTAGCGGTTACCACACCAGACAGACGGCACTTCCTTGCGCCCTCAGGCAATCCAGCATACCGAGTAAGCCTTGCAAGAAACCCAAGTCAGCTTCCGAGAGCATATGGATAGGGACATAGATATGGCCCCTCGGGATCCAGAATACCTAACCCGGAAACTCAGGTACTTTTTCACGACCCACTGATGATAAAAAGAGCCTTTAGCTACACCTTCATTAGCAGCCAATGCTTGAGTGTGCGACAGCAGTAATCAAGTCAAGAATAATCACCTAGGGTGTGAGTACGTCGAGGCATGCCCCCGAGCCGACCAATCATTCCTGGGCTTGGAAACAACAGGAACCACTGCAAGCGGAAAACAAATCACTCTAGTAAGCTACCAGCAGCTAGCTGCGGGTAAATGAGCAAAGCCTCTGGGAAAGCATACCATGTCAGTAACCGGGATGCAGCTGGCCTTGCAAGACAGCATATATCCATATCACTGGCTGGGGTGGTCACCCTTCTTCCAGTCATGACCAGCAGCAGACTCAGTCGCCAGCTGACTATCTTGCTTCCCCGCAAAGAGAAGATAGATCATCGCGTGCAGTTTTTTTCTAGTACTCTGACGCTTAAGGCTAGCGGCAGAAGCATGAACATGGCCCTGGGTGCAGTTTGGGAAGCAGAAAGTGAAGCCAAAATCGAAGAAAGACAAATCTGGCTTCACCGCGGAAGAGCGCCACGCGGCTACAATGCGAACGTCCCACGATTTACCCAACGGTACCCCAGCCAATATTGACAAAGATAAAGACAGGAAGAAGCAAATGGACCCTGTTGGGCTGACCGTGTCAGGGATGAGAAAACAACATACTCAACTCCGGCTGTGCTTTCTACTTTCACAGAAAGTTCACATTCTGTGTGGGAAGAGGCGTTGCTAAACCACCCTTTGGGACCCCAATTCTTGCGAGATGTGGCATGATCCAGATGCACCGGAGTGGGAAAATCCATCTGCACGGCCCTTTGCTCGGTTCAAAGCGTTGAGTATCAGAGACACAAGCCAACTGGATTCAAAAGCAACAAGGGTGCATACATTGCATCAGATTGGGCGGGAGACCGAGACATCGCACATCATACATCAACCACCCACATGAGGAGGCCCTTTCCCCAAGCGGATTTGATTCAGCGTGAACAATTCCCTTATCCTCCAAGATAGGCACTGCGCTATAGCAGATAAGAGAAGTTAGCCCCGAACGCACAAAAGCAAGAGGAAGGAGAGGAAGAGGAGCGAGTCCCTCTATCAACAGCTCAGTCAATTTGTTCGTCTTATCAAAACCGGCGTCCCTTCCTCGAATTGCTCTTGTCAACATGCCTGAAAACATCGTCTCCCCCTTGTATTCACCTTTGTAACTCCATCTTCCCTCTTACGAATAGCTTATTCTCTATTCGATAATAATCTCTTCACTTTAGATACCCATCAGCAGGAACCCTTAATGCACTCAGCCCGCGATCTCCTACTGATGTCCACTAAATCTCTCTGGCATATGAGCTTTCACCCACCAAGTCGCACCGTTACCCTGGATGGCAAACCCTCCGTTCTTGACCGAGCAGCTGGGAAGAATCGAGTTCTGGTATCCCCAAACTCAAAAGATGTCAAGTCTAAGACTATCCCTAAAGGGATCTAGAAACAGCAAACAAGCAAGCACAAGCACAGTAAACCATGGTTGAGCATCTTTTGCATCGGTTGGTGAGCCGAGACGGACTGCAGATCGGAAATGGAAAGCGGCGACTAGCCTGACCTTATTGGTGCTAGTAAGGGACTTCTGGTTGGAAAGGGAGTGGGGGGAGGATTGAGAAGGAAACGGGAAGCTGGAGAGCCTGAGTTACGATCCATAATTCTCAAAGAGCGTTAAGTGCCGATGTGATACTGGGACAGGGGGAGCCCCGGGGGCAGCCCGCATCGCTTTTTCTTGCTACCGCGTCACTAGCTTGATAGGATGTACACCTCTCTCCCAATCGAGTGATTAACCCTTCCTCAGCCTCAACAGTCACTTCCATAGAAGAATTCAGTGCTTCGTACCTACATAGACTGCGAACCTCAGCACAAAAAAAAAAAAAAAAAAAAAAGAAAGAAAGAAAAAGAAATAGAAAAAGAAAAAAAACAGGCAATTTCCAGCCAACTAAGCCGAATTCCCCTTCTGTACCGCTCAACTACACTCCCATTGCCCGAACCCCCTTCCCCGTCCCAGTAGCGCGTCATTCCGATCTTCCAGTTCCAGACGAAAAGAGAGGGAGGTACTGCATCTTCCTCCCAAGCTCGCCTAACCAATGATCATCGCACCGGTGGGCAAAACAAAGGAACCGAACCGGGTTCAACCCCATCCTCGTCCTCCCAGACATCGTCATCCTCCCCGTCTCCCGCGGGGGCGGGTCCTCAAAGCCCGGTCCACAAAACCGGCCAGGGTCTCCAGAAACCTCCGGGAAGCGCGGGACATAATTGCCTTGCCGGCGAAGCATTGGGCCGAGGCATTGGCGCACGCCTTCACCAGCCGCCGCGACAGCGCGGGATCGACCATCGTATCCAGAGTGCCGATGACGTGCAGGACCGGGGTGGTGAGCCTGGGCTGATAGATGGACGCGTAGGACGGATGCTCCAGGCGGAAGCCACTGAAGCACACCGCAAATTG